AAGACTACAACCTGGCAAGCAGGCACAACTTACTCCAACTCCTTGTTGTTTTTTTTCTTTTTTATTTTTTTAATATTATAGCATAACCTTTTGCACTACTACAAAAAGCAATGCTAGGCAAGCTCTTTTATTTCTTATGCATAAAGCAAAAATAAGTCAATGTGTTATGACTGCAGTGCAGAACTATACAGACAATAACCACAAAGTATTCTTCACATTCTCATTTAGCATAATAACAACACCTCCATTCCCTTCATTTCTCTTATTTCTGGTTTCCTGCAACCTGCATATTCAATCTTAGTACCCATCTAGTAGAAGCTCACTCCACATACATCTATCATACTAAACACACGTTAGTTGGGTGAAAGGCATTTTAAGACCAAAAATGCCAGTTACCACCCCACCCCTATTTATCTATTTTCTTCTTTTAGAGAGCAGTTAGTAGTGTTAGAACATTTTTTTCAGCCATAGTGCATGGAAGCAGGGTGATCTCCTCCCTAGCCTACAAATACCCTCTGCTCTCGATGTACCAAGGATCTCATTTAGCAGATGTACGGTCACATCCCAGTGAGACCTCACTAATGGGTTGCCCATTGTACACGGTGGTGGCACCCTTGAGTTCCACAACTCAGTCCAGAGCAACCTCACAATATCGAAGGGTTGAACTTCAGATGACTAGAAGCAGTACCTACATATTAGAGTCCCTGTTTTCTCTACTGAGGAGAGAAATGGTATCAATGCAGCTTATACCTGCTGGAGACAAATCAACATCAATGATGTTCAAATGCTTTCTGAGGACAGTTGGAGCTCTGTGATTAAGGTTTTCTTCTGTTATTCCTTAAGCCAGAAATGCAGGCTACTTGTTGCAAGGTTTCTACTTGAAGGCCAAGAATAACTTGAAATAATAAAGTTGTCACAGGATGAGAGGAAAGAAATACTATTATTTCAGCAGCATAGACCCCACTACCACAGTGGTGGTGGTCGCAGTGGTAAGGTACTAACAACCTCTCTAGAGTCTTCTCAAAAGAAAAAACTCAAAGGAAAAAGCCTCTTTTCAACACATTATCTGCTTCCCTGAAGCCTTTATTAGGGGAAAGGTCTGAAAAAACAGCATTAAGGGCAGAATTTCTAGTGTGGGACAGTGGCAAACCAGTTAGTCCAAGTCAGACTCTGTATACAAAAACAAAAGATTAAAAAACCAGAAAGAGCCAAAGTATTAAAAGCTCTCCAAAAAACTGAGAGACAAGGTTAATATGAATTATACTAAACTGAAATCTAAAAAAGTCTCTCGAAGGACTTATGACCAAAAGGTTGTGGTCATCCCCCACACAGCATCTGCTTAGCAAGCTCCTGGCCTCGATTGCTCCCAAGCTGCTTATCTTGACCCGTATCTACTCCCTGCCACCACCACTGCTCAAGCATGAAAGCGTTCATGCAAATGCACAGTTAACCAGATGGGAAAAATAATCCATCTTTAGAGAGCAGGGAGAAGAGGAGGAAACACTTTATCACTGATTATTCCTCAGCTGGAGCAGTTCAATACGGAGCTGCACAAACACTTGGGCCAGAAGATGACACAGAGAGTAGGAACAAGCAGATAGGAACAGAGACTGGGTCCAGACTCAAATTTGAAACTACTTTTTAAAAATATAAAAGGGAGTTATATGCCTCAATCCAGATAACCAACTCCAGCAGCTTTTAGGCCAGAGCCATCGCTGCCATCAGCAAAGCCAAGGAGAGAAACTCTTACTATATGAAGAATACGACACTGCTTCCTCTTCCAAGATCCGCAGCTCCAATTTACAGTTTGGTGTCCTAGTAATTTTAAAAATAATACATTACAGTAAATTGTGCACTTAGAAGTGCAGCATAACTTCCAGAACAACAGAGCCCAATATACTCAGAGACAGTATTTTAAATGAACATAGCCCTTCAGCTTTTTTGTTTAGTATGTGTTCTAGTAATTTTGCAATGGATCTGAAAAGCTGCTCAAAGTCCACATATGTCTAAAAAAACCCACCTGAAATGACTCAGAGTCCTGTCTCTTCCTGGGGAAGCTTGGCCCAAAGGAAAAGCACTGAAATGTTCAGAAGAAAAACTTTTATTCTGATTATGTCTTGAAAAAGGCAATACCATACCAAGCTTCTCCGAACAACGGCAGACCGGGAAACAAAGCTACAACTCAAAGCTGACAGTAAACTTGCTCAGTAAACACAAACAGAAAGGAGGTGGCTGGTGTGTTCTGGAGCTCCTGGGGTCCCTCTGGCAGGAGCATGCTTGGCAGGACGCAGCCATTGAGGGCACCTACAGACACCTGAGAGGATCAAAGGAGGAGGGGATTGCGGGGAGGCAGCCAAAAAAAACCCACAAAACTCGAGCAGCAGGATTGCTTGCTGCACATCACAAGGCACAGAAACAGTAAACCAGCGTTTATGAATGCTGAACATCGTTAAAATGCTTGGGTGCCCTTTAAATGTCACAACATACAAAATTTACCTCCTTCCACTCCAGAGCAAAAGCTTTGCTCTGCACTCCTGTTTTTGATAGGCAAAGATTTTGAAGAGACCCAGAAGAGAGACATCTTGGTACAAAGCTGCAAAACCCAACCTCTTCTAAACACTGCAGACACCAATACTGTGAGCGCGCTGTACTTGGTTCCTGAATTAAGGTCTTTCACACTTCACCATGTTACGAAAAGCAAGGCAACTGCAAAGTTGCAAACGATTTTACATGCTCGTCCATCAAAAGCTCCAACACATTATCTGCTTGCGCAGCCTGCCTCGGCACTAACAAAACGGACCCGAAGAGGACCGAGGGGTGGTATGCCCAAACCCAAGCCACCCTCATTTGTTATTCACAGACTTTTTGGGTGCGGATTAAGCTGAATGCGTGGCAGGCTATTGAAGGGCCAGGCGCTGCCAGGTGCCCGCTGGTCTCCATGTGCAGCTCACCCTTTGTTTCCTGTCTTATATTCTTAAGGAGAGACCGACTGCAAGCCCAGGCCCTCTCCCCTCCTCCTTCATTACACAAGTCTCCTCCCCTCCGCTCTCCCCATTTAGCCTACGCAGGATCTGCACAACTTGGAAAGCAAGGGACAAAAGACAAAAAAACCCTGAACAAACCCAGACGTCGCCTGCCTCTTAAAGAAATGGAGACAGGAATAACCTACGTAAAAAAGGGTGATCAATAGCATATGCCCAAAGCCTCATTTCCTCGGTGGAGGGGTGACGGGTATAACGTAAAATGTTTTTCCTTCTCTGTTTCAATCATGCTCCCTCCTGCACAGAGCTGGGGAGTCACAGCCCACTCCAGCCTCCTTCCGCTGCACTTCTCTCCCCAGCTCTGCTCCAGACAAAGCCTGGTGCCGTATGCCCCCCGACACTGCTTCCTAGGGAGAGCTGCGTACCTGGGGACACCTCACACACTGCCACCGTTCGTCCCCCTCTCTCGCAGCATCTTCACGTTATCACTGGCTGCAGCATCTGCATCAACTCCTGCCTCGGTGGTCCCACACTCCAACAACTTGGTTATCCCAGGACGGGCTAGCATAGACATATCTGCAGCTTTCACCAGCGCACATAAAATAGCACTGGCGTGAACAAGCAAGACCAGGTGACTCCTCCAGCTGCCATAACCCACCCCACGTCTTCACACATCCACACAGCGGCATCTCCCCATCCCTCCGTAAATGGGTGCCCTCAGCTCTGCACGGAGCAGCCCTGGGGAATCGAGCTGTCCCCTGCAGTATTTATGGGCACATGGAGACCCCGCACTGCTGCCAGCGGCAGCATATAAGGGATGCTCCCTGCCCCGCAGGGCAACCGGGTTGTCTTTCTTCAGTAACTTGGGCTCTGACCACACAAAAAAAAAACCCCAATCCCAAAACAAAGAACTCTGATACATGCAAAATCTCTCTTCATTTCCAGAAGCACCCCACGCCTAAACAAGAACCCAAGCGGCAGTCTCATAACACAGGAATGAGCCCAAATGTAACCAGCCATTTTTATAAGGCTTATCTCAAACATCATGAGAGCTTCCCTGGGGGAACTGTGGGTAAAAATGAACAACTGAGAAAGAGCAAAGTACAGTCTCAGTAAAAGCATTGTCCTCCACAGCCTTTTTTGGGGGAAAAAAAAAAAAAAGTATGCAGACCAAAATATACTTGGGCGGGTGTTAAAAATCTTTTCTTCAGCTTTTTACACAGGTAAGAAATTCACAACAAAATAAGCTTCACCCAAGAGTTCTGTTAAGTTTTCCAGAGCAGCGATGTCAACAACTCCTCGAAGCAGAGACGAGCAGCGATCCCAAACTTCTCAGACACCTGGTCATCAAACCTTCAGCAGAAAAATACTATGAAGAAAAGCCACACAAAGCAGCACTGAATTCTCCTTCCCCTAGGTGAGAACACTGAGTTTGAAGAGAACCTTTGTAGCCAAAGCTCTCTCAAAGACAACCCACCACTTTCACAAAATCCCTGACACGCTTCCCTTCCTGAAATCCTGCACCTTTCCTGCTCCCTCCGAATTTGGCCCACAAGCTCCACTACATCAGCTAGACACCCTCTTGGGTTTCCCAACTCTTAAGCCACAGGCAGATGAGAGAACGCACTCCAGTTAAAAAAGTTCTGCACAATCAACAGCTGGTAAGCAACTGAGGTTCTAGGACTGTTTCTAAAAATCTGCCCAGGGACTTACACCTCAAGGAGGGTTTAATTTCCAGCCAGCAACCGGCTCGCACAGACTCACATCTCACGGGCTGAACATACTCCGCACAACCCATTTGTCTTGTTGCCCAAAGCAGAACTTGTATTCAACAGCAACCTTCATGCAGAAAGCTGGTGCTGCCAGTGCTTAGGGTTACAAAAGGAAACCTCCAATAGAAAGCACAGTAGCCCTAAACAACGGTTCGCAAAAAGCAGTAACTGCCACCCCACCACTGATCACCTCGGCTCAGCTTTAATTCTCAAGGCTGGTTATTGCATATGAGAGTGCTCGTTTCCAAACCACGCATGCAATTTTCCACAAACACTTACTGCATCTGTACATTCAGGGTAGCTGGACAAAAAAAATCATCCAGGTAAACAACAGGCAGAAATAGCAGAGGTATTAATAAATTGCCACACACTTATTTTTCCACTCTGAGGTAATGCAAAGTGCAACAGCAACCAAAAATTAGTGCAGCAGGGCCCTATTATACCTTTGATCTCTGTCCAAATTGATATAAAGGGAAAATCCATTATAACTTGGGAATAAAAATAGGATACTTATCCTCTCTCCCCCTCTACTTTAAGTTCAGCTCTGAGACTGCAACTTTACAAATAAAATAAGTTCTTGGAAAAACAAGGACCTTTTAAGCTTTCAGCTGCGCCTCCTCTAGCTGCTGCCCGTGGTCTTTTCTTCTCCCCACAGACTCCAAGCTGCAGCAGTGGAGCTGGCACTTCCAGCTTCATGCTCTCAAGGATGGTATTTGCTGGTTCACCTAAAACCTAGCACAGCATGCTTTTTTTCACAGCCATAATCTGATTTAAAAAACGAAACCTAACACATGCAGAAATTGATCGCATACATTTTGCGGACTAGAAAGGCCAGATAAGGACACCTGGGTAACTTCTGCTACGCTCTTCCAGCTCCCGATGGACCTAAGTTTCACACATCAGCTTGCCGGTGCACTCAGGCTGCCTCTTATGGGTGCAGGAAGGATCCATATGGCCCACCTACAGCCATATGAGACATACATTGATATTAATAGAAATCCTCCAGGCAGAGCAAGCATCTCCCCGGCCGTATGCTTCCCCCAGCAGCAATACTCACAGGTAACACATCCCGAGCCCTGCCCCTGGACTCCCATCTATCGCAGCAGCCGTCACCGCAGGCTGGCCAAAGCTTCTTTCTTCACCCTACCCCTAATTCCTTAATATACAGAAAAAGCAGCAGATACGAACCCTAAGGCGGCAGGCAACCACTCCCACCGATACCCTGGCTACTTCGCGAACACCTTATTTATTTGACATTAAAAAAGTAACTGTATTTCCTCGGCATCAGCCGCTCTGAACAGACGAGGGGGGGGTCCCGAAAGGCCACTGCCCCCTTCCACGGCGCTCATCACCTCACGGCAGGTCTCTGACAGCAAGGCGGGGTGCTGGCAGACACACCCCCCCCCCAGACCCAACGCACGCCTCTACGGTACCTCTGGGTACAGGTGCCCGGACCACCCGCTACCTACAGCCCTACCGGCCCCCACGGCACGTCCACCCGCAGCGACAGACGGAGCCGGCGCCTTCCCCGGTGTCCCGGCCTCCCACCGGGCGGCCG